TTGTTTTGTTTTGTTTTGTTTTTTGTTTTTTTTTTTTTTTTTTTTTTAGGTGTTTTTTATATTTTGTGGTTTTTTTTTTTTTTCCCTTGTGTGTTGGGAGGGGCGGGGCCGGGGTCACATAAGGGCAGTTATCCACCGAGGTCAGAAGAGGGAATGGGAATCATCATCGATGCCCTGAAGTTAAGAGTTTCCAGGCAGTGTATGCTGGCAACTGAACTCGGGTCCTCTGCGAGAGCATGAGTATGTGGGCATTGCAATTAGTATTGAAAAACCTCCTGTCTCAATGTTATGTAAAAACTGTCCTCCGCCATCTTGGTTAATAAAGAGCTGACCGGCCAATAGCTGGGTAGGAGAGTTAAGGCAGGACTTGCAAGGCCGTTAGGCAGTCCGAGGCCCAGCAGAGAAAGTTGCCATGAAGAAGTGGCCATGAGGAGGAGGTCGCCATGAGGACACAGATGGAGCAAGAGCAGCCAGGGTGAGACTAGAACAGGCAACAGGGCATGTGGCTGAGAAATAGTCTGGACCAGTATAAACTGGTTAGGATAGATGAATAGCTCCCCAGCTATAGTGCTTAAAGCTTATTAATAAATGTAATAGGTCTCCGAGTCATTATTTGGGAGCTGGGGCAGGCATAGAAAATTCCACACTACAGGGCGGCCAAGGCAGGCGGATCGATCGAGCCCAGCCAAGTCTACAAAGCAAGTCCAGGACAGCCAAGGCTACACAGAGAAACCCTGTCTCGAGAAAGAGAGTGAGAGAGAGAACTTGATGGGTTTGAACTTTAGAAAGTGGTGATGTGGTTAGTTTCTTGTTTGTTTGTTTTTTGTTGTTTGTTTTGTTTTGTTTTGTTTTTCCAGCTTGACACAAGCTAAGGTCATCTGGGAAACACCTAAAAGAAAAAGGAAAAATAGCATCCCTGTTTCTTTATGAGTTCACCCAGTACTTTTTCAGTGTCTCTTCGGTCTCTGTCCCTTTCACCTGCCAGTTTACCCCTGAAGTACCTAGATGCCACTTCTGAAGCCTGGTGACAGGTGAAAAAGAGAAAGAATGGTATGCCTTGTGTGAGAAATTCCAAGAACACATTTCGGGAGACATGTTTACACTAACAAACTACCCATTGTTTATCTGGAATTCAAATTGAACTTGTATCCGTACTTTTTATTTGCTAACCCTGGTGGTGTCGGTTGGAATGTGCCGGTCGTGAACACATCTGTGCTGGCCCAGATACAATCAGAGGCATCTGTTGGGGCTGAGCAGTGACTGGCAGTGGCCTCTCTTAATCTTCTTCCGCTGGTGAACACGGTTCCAGGGTGGCACTACCACACTGGGGAACAGAGAACATGGGAGTCTGGTGCTCAGATGACCCGAGTGCAGATCTTCACTCCATCACGTACTAGCTGTGTGACCTTGGGCAAGTGACTAACCATCTCTGGGCCTCGGTTGGGGAATCTGTGAGATCTGTCATACTGTGCTAGGTAGGAGCTAAGGGAGGAGACACAAGCCCTCAGCAGGGTAGTACTTGACTCATATTCATTGCTCAATAAATGATCTCAGATTCGGCAGTTCTGGGGCAGATGTAACATTTGTGGGAACCAACTTGAAGTACTCTAAAAGATAAAGAACATTATTAAATCAAAGTTAGGCACGTGTGTGAAAATGAAGGGCCGGAAGCTTACAGTCTTTACCAAAATATACCAGTAAACCAGAGGCAAAGGTCTGGTGTGGCTTGGTTTTGCCTGAGAAAGGTCTCAGTCTAGACTGGCCCAGAACTCAATATGGAGAGGTGGCTGGCCTCAAACCTGTAGACGCTCTCCTGGGTCTGCTCCTGAACGCTGGAACACCACGCCCACGCCCAGCCTGGTTTTGTTCCTTTAAGAAGTAGAACAAGAGGGCTGGCCCTGTGCTTTGGTGCTGTTGCAGTAGCCTAGAATGCATGGGAGGGGTGGGGGATGGGGAGAAAAGGAGGAAAGAAACGGAGTGGAGGGAAAACAGGCACGGGCATCACATGTAGCAGGAATCACATGGTGGACACATGTACATGTATACAATCCAGACCATAAAATGTGTACAGATCTATACACATTTATATACCAGGAAATTATGTGTTATGGCTGGGGTCACCACAACATGAGGAGCTGTGTTAGAGGGTTGCAGCACAGCATTTAGGTTGCACATATATACATGCATGTATGTGTATATGTAAACCACTTGACACCATCACCTAATGTATATATAATGTCACCTAATATATAATATATAATATCACTGTGATATTATATATAGTATCATGTCATATATAATATCACTGTGATATTATGTAGTATATATTAGGTGATATTATATATTATATATAGTATATCTACTATAATAATCTACTATAATAGTATGTATATAATAATGTTATATACATATTACATATATATATATATTAGGTGATGGTGTCCAATGATTTTCTCCTTGGATCATTGTCAGGAATGTTCAAGAAATACTGACTGACAGTAGTAGCCCCCTCAGACTAACCATTCCTGTTTTCAGCTGAGCATGATGGCTCCAGCTAAGAATCCCCACACTTGGGAAGCTGAGGCAGGAGGATTGGGGATTTGAAGCTAAAAATCTTAATAACATAATGAAATACAATTACACACACACACACACACACACACACACACACACACACACACATCTCTATTTCGGGATTATGGAAATCAAGGGTGAAAAGGATTAAGATGTTTGCCCAGGACATCTTAAGGCAATGGAGATGGCTGAACCACAGCAAAACTGGGGCTTGATCCTGGCCCCATCTTCCAGCCTCCGACCTAATCCATGAGTCCCTCAGATCTGCACCTTCTCAGCTCTCCTGGGAGAAGATACACTGACCTGATTCTGAGAGTCGTTGGTGGCTGTATCCAGGCATGCTAAGACCAGTAGGGTCAGATTAAAGGTGTCCCTCCTCCCCTCTCCCCCGCTGTGCTCCTCACATGTTCTGGGGTTAGCACAGCCGACAAGACAGCTGCTCAGAACTGAACCCCAACTCTGTATCACTCTGCAGCCGCATTTCCCCTCTCACCATTTTCCCTGACAAAGCACTCTGAGATTCTAAGCCAGTGGCTCTCAACCTTAATGCTGTGACCGCTTAATACACTTCCTCACGTTATGGTGACCCCCCCAACCATAAAATTATTTTAGTTTTTACTTCATAAGTGTAATTTTGGCACGGCTATGAACCGCAATGTAAATATTTTTGGAGATAGAAGCTTGGCAAAGGGGTTGCTACCCACATGTTGAGAACTACCTCTAGGAGGTAAAAGCAACTTTCCAAGGTCACACAGATGAGTCTGGAACTGAGCCAAGGAAGCTCTTCAACATTATCTTCAAGCAAGGAGCCCATCAGCTAGCCTTCTCCCTAGATGGCTGCAGGGGAGCAGAAGCGGCTCCTCCATCGGCCACCAGGGGCCCTCCATCAGCAGAAATACCTCCTCCCGTCTCCCTCCTTCGTACAAGCAAAGGCCACGTTCTGGGCATCCCAGACCCCTGGAAGGAGCCCAGCCCTGCAGACAATGCTCAGCCCTAGTGGGCTGCAGGGGGGGCGGGGCCTGGGTGCTGAGCCCGCAAGGGTGGGAGGGGTCGGGGAGAAGGGAGGAGGAGGAGCTGGGGTCAGAACTCACGCCCTGGGGAGGAGGCTCCAGAGGGCTGAGCCTTTCCAAGAGAAAGAGTACATTCAGAGCTTGGAAGGAAAAGGAAAAAACGTTCTCTGGTGTTTGACAAGAGGAGAGGAAGGGGGGCAGGGTGGGCGATGCCGATTCGATTTTCTGCTCAACTGTCGCTTTAGCAAGGCCTGGCAGGAAAGCCAAGGAAAGAGGATGTCTGGGGACAAAGGCTGAAGGGGGAGGCTGGGTGGAGAGGGGAGGGCGGTGAAGTCTGAGTTTGTGAGACAAGCCCAGTGAGGAGGGAACTTCGAAGACAGACCGGGAAGAGAGTTTGGCTGTACTCCTGACCAGAAGCAAGGTGCCCGAGATTCACCTGAGAAAATCCGGGGCAGCAGAGAAGGGCTGTGGAGGGGGGATCATTGACATCAAAGGGGCAGGAGGGGGCTCTGGATGCTGGAGGTGACCTCTAAGGGTCACCAGTCAGGGTCTAAAACCAGTGGCCTGTGAAGGGCCAGTCAATCATTGACCAGCCTGGGGGGCACAGAGGGTGGCGCTGAGAGTGTGTGTATGTGTGTGTGTGTGTGTGTGTGTGTGTGTGTGTGTGTGTGTGTG